TTTTTTTTTTTTTTTTTTTTTTTTGGTACTGGAGATTGAACTTGGGTCCTTGCATTTGTGAGGCAGGTGCCAGAACCACTGAGCTAAATCCCTGGCCCTGCCTAACTTTTTCACAGAGGACGGTTCTGAAAATACATTTAAAATACAACGGTTTTTTTAAAAAATCAAATAAAGTTATAAATACACTCAAACATAGATGGCCAGTTAAGGAGAATCTTATGAATATTTTTATTAAGTTAAAATCTTTTCTGGCAAATACACGGATTCTCCCAAGGCCTGTTCTAGGACACAGAATTCTTATCGCCTCAGTCACCGATGCAAAGGCCAAGGGAGGAGGCAGGATAGGGCCCTTCAAGCACAGACTTAATCACTCTCCTCTGATATAATCTGGGGCCATGTCGACATTTGGGGGAAGCCAACAGGCAGGGTTCCTCCAAACCTGATTATCTTGACATAGCTCTGGAAGCTTTTCTCATTTGGCCATTCAACTGAGGGGGTCCTGAAGCTATGTAGAGCAAGAGAAGAGAGCCCAGCTTTGTCATCAACTAAAGAGCTCTCACTCCCCCTACACACCACACATATTCCTGGTTCCTTGGTTTTCTACCAAGTTGCCAAAGCCATCGTTTACTTCAGGTGGAGTGCTAGAGATCTGGTGCCTCTCTCTTCCTGTGTGCAGGATACTCCTGTACACAATGATACTCCTGATACTAATATCTTGAAAATCTTTAGTTATTGTTCATTTCACATCACACCCCCAAAGCCTTTAAGATCTGTATTTCCCCTGACAAAAGCTCAGGGTGTTCCAAATACATCTTTTCAAAAAGTTGAATATTACGGTCTAGCAGGTTATTCACTACTGAATTATTACATCAATATCAAATATTATTTATTCATTTTCACTCCACTGAGCTGCCCATGGGCAAAGCACTGTTCTTTGCTGGAGAGGGAGGTACAAGCGCTGGGGACACAAAAACTGGGTCTTCTGAAGACCACAGTTCAATGTCAAGCTTCAAATGCAACACATAGATTATTGTTACCTTATTGAAAATCATTAATACAGTGGAAAAATGTCCTCAAAATAAAAAATGAACATGTGAAAAGGTTAAACATAGAGCAGAGGACAGAAAAAAAAAACTAGATAAGAGATTAGTGTAGAAACATCAAAAATAAAAATATCAAATGTATAAGTCCTAATCAGCCCATGCAATAAAGATACTGAGATAATTAACACAGTTGAAGATCTCCAAAGGAATCCAAGCTGAAATAGGCAGGGAGTGGAGGAAAGTCCTCAGGTGGGCAGTGAGGAGACCAAGGCTGCCACCTGCCTGTGTAATTTCAGACTCTATCTTGTCCTCTGGGCCTCAGTTTCCTCATCTAAGAGATGAAGTTCTTTCCATGTTAAACGTTCCCAAATCCACTGCACTAACTGACAAGTACAGG